ATCAATTAAAACACTGGACTCCAGGTACATGACGTGCAGCTGGAAACACTTCACCTACCCGAGATTCACAGAATTTACAGAAAATATTAAATTTTTTGTGATTTATATCGTTATCAGGACGATAGATGTTTTATATCGGGATATGAGATTTTGGTCATATCGCACAGCCCTAGGGTAGACGGCTACTCAAGTTATAAGTAGTTCTAAATGAGCATTAAATAGATAAGAGGGCAAAGGTTAATGTCAATGCAAGAGGCAACAAAAGTGCCTCTCTTAAAGGCCTCTGTTACCACTGAGCTGGTAGCAGAGGCCCAGTTGGATAATAAAAAACATCTTTACAGACACCAAGTTAAACACTCACACACGCATGCACACGTCATCTGGATTTTCCAGTGAACTTTATCACAGCAATCCCAGCAGTGTGTGTTTGTTGACTTTGGAGTCTTAGATCCTACAGCATCCGTGTTTTTGATGAGAAAGCTGATGATAAAGAACAGCTCAGGTGTCCGCGATGGGATCCCAGGCATGCACAGGCCTATCCCTCCTGAAGTGTTCCTCTAATACATGCATTAAAGTCAATTACATGCTAGGCTGTTCATGGGATACAAATGATTCACAGAGAGAGCCCTGGGCTTCTGAACCTGATTATACAAGAATGACTTGCGTAATCAGGGTTTTGGGAATCATTTTCCTGTAAGAAATGAAATGGATACACAAAGATATCTCTTTGCTCCTCCTACTCGTTGCTATGGTCAGTAGAAAAGGGGGGGGAGAGAAAGAGAGAAGGGTGCATCTTTGGGCCAAATTCTAGCAAATTCTGATTGGGCAAAGAAGCTTACTCCCTTACTCAAATGAAATTTTACTACCGTATCAGCTTTTTAGGTTGTGAGGGCAACACATCCACAAAACCTCCTCTCTCTGCAGAGACAGTACAGTGTTCTAAAACTGGTGCAGCGTCCGTTCACATTGTCCCTGTTTAGAGGGGGACCAGTGCACTTTGCAGCACAACTGAGTTATTGCAGTCATTTATCATGGGGGGAAATGGGATATGTCAGCAAATACACAGCTGATTTGGGTTTTCAACATTTACCTGCAATGATCCAACAGTATTAGTCTTTGACTGCGATCCAGAAATGACATTATTTAGATTGATTTTATATGCACAGGCTTTAATACTTGCCCTGCATGTGTGCTGCCATAGTAAACAACAAGCAGCCAGAGTGTTTATAAGAAGTACAGCATGCAAAAACTCACACATAAATACTGTGTGAGTTTTGAAAGGAGGACAGCTATAAATTCATACGTGTCTCTCACTGCATGCAAGCTCAAACACAAGTGAAGCGAGCTTTAGCTGCAGAGCTTGTGCCTATCGAGCGGACCACAATATTTAATCGGTCCCAAACTCCACTTTCACTAGCTGCTTGCCGTTAAATAACCACTGTGGTGATAAAACAGATGGTGGGACAGCTGATAGTTACTAAAGATAGCATTCCTCAACAACTTCACATCAGGTGGTAATAAGTTTGTCTCAATGACTGTTCGCAGTTTAGACTGAGCCCTATTCAATGAGCTGTTGTGATCACGCTGCTAACACTCCCTATCGACAGTGGCCTACTGAGGATGTCGTGATCAAAAGTTTTTCTTGTGAAAGAATAACAGAAATCAACTTTTAGCCCAAAATAAGACTTCACTTCCTTGGGTGTGAAGCAGATTGGATGAATGGTGGTGAGGAGAGGGGAAAAAAGGAAAAAAGGAATAAGAGGGAAGCCTTTATAATAATATCAAATAGAACCCCGGTGAAAGATTTTAATAGTTTATTGCCCAAAATCTCCAAATGCAGATTGATTCCATATCTAATTAGAAACTATGACTCTGAGTTCATCTGTCAACAGCATAATCATTCACAAAGATTAGCCTCGGGGAGCTTCCAGTCCTAATAATGAGAGCGAGACGTGATTGAAGGAATGAATGCTGGCTCACTGACTGTCCTCATTTCTACCGTTTCGAGTTCCTGAGAAGACATCACATTAAAGCAAACCTGGACTGAACCTCGTGCTCAGGGTTCCGGCAGGAGGCTAAAGAGCTGACAGCACAGTGCTGGAGATCTTCACATGAAGTACTCCAGAGAAACCACTCAGACATTGTCAGCAGGAACAAAGAGCTGACTGACAAGACTGTTCAATCAGTTGTTAACAAGTCCCAGAGATTAATTATCACGGCTGTAATATCGTCCTGATAAATTCCCTGACACTGAAAGGCTCTCAGATAATATGAAACAGTCTTCTAAACTCTCAGTTGCACACACTTCTTAAACTGATCATGCTACATTTACACAGGACAAAACTTGTTTGCCTTGTTTCTGTGTCCTTCCTCCGAAATACATTTACCATTCTGATGTAGTTTGGCAAGTGCGTCAGAAAGCCCTTATTATATGGAATACAGTACAACAGAAATAAAAGCACCGTTATCCATCATCATGTGGACAATTAAATCTGATTTCTGTATACATTAATGTCATTAATGCCTCCCACTTTACCAACTTTACTTTTTGACTGGTGGGTTTATAGCTATGCTGCTTAAATTAGCAATTACAATCATTAGCAGTTACAGTATGAAAACATTCTCATAAATAAATAAATAAATAAATAAATAAATAAATAAATAAATAAATAAATAAATAAATAAAGACCTTTAATTATCATTCTCTGCTGAGCTGCCATAAAATCTCCCTTTTCCTGGGAAAAAAAAAACTCCATAGAAACGCTGAAACACCTTTTGTATGTGATACACTGTTCAATAACTGGATTCTTTGTTTCTAACAAAAAAATGATGGTGAACAAAGAGCAGTTTCAACAAAGCTCTGTTCCGATTACAGCAGGAACAAGCCCTATGGCAGACTCGAGGCACAAGGACTGACTTGGGTTACAGCAACTACAGCTGGCTGCAGGCCCAAGGCCAACACACAATCAGTATTCAGACCCACAGCTGGCAGAACAATCAGCTTTGTCTAAAACCTAAACTGCTTCACTCAGACATGATACTGTCGTCCTCAAACTCGAGGAATACTTGCTGGCTGGTCTCTGAACAACCACCTTCTCTGTTCATTCTTTAGTCTATTGATGGTTTACCAGTTAACAAACAATCAGACCCACAGGTCAAAGTGTCTGCTTAGGTTTGCAGAGGAAAGCGAAGTAAGGAATGTGAGGTAAATTGTCCTGAGAGATCAACGTAAGGTCTGGAAAAGTATTCACAAGGTTACTGTTAGCAGGCGTTTTATCCATTGCTGTGCAGTGAATTCTTTTGAGGTCACATGTTTAGTCAGTCCTGTGTACGGATACAGATGGGCTATTAACAAAGCATTCATATCAACTTGTGTCATACATGAAGCACACTTTCACCCAACAAAAAGCCTAAATTCAGTTTAGTTAAGCTTGAGTCATAAACAGTAAGATAGTAGCAGCAAGATTTGTGGTGGAGATTCTGTGAAAGGCTCGTAGCTGCCGAGAATTTAAGGATCTCTCAGCTAGTTGGTCACACTCTACTGAAAACCAATGTGTCAGTTAGTTATTGGCTTTTGCTCTCAGTCACTCTCCCCGTGGCTACTGTACATGTCTGCTCCAGTTTGTAGCAGCTACCTAAGGCAAGGCAGTGCTGTTGCAGTGCTTTTTATTCAAAAACACACCAGTCTGGGATCGAGTGCCAACTGGACACCCTGTGTCCCCTATCACAATTTTCTTCCATATGAATTATATATAAAGTTCAAGGAAATTCCCTGCTGCATGTTTATTAAGTTAGTGAATAATTCTGCTAAATTACTGAGATTCCAACTATTGAGCAAAATAATCATGACTATGGTTTTTGTGCTACAGCAGCACTAAAAGCTCACAGGCTCAAATTTATTTATTTTTTTAAGTATCCCTGTAGACTGTCAGTTTAACATTAATCAAGAAATGCAGATTTGGAAACTGTTCTGACAGAACTGAGAGAAACCTTGGAAAAAGAAACCTCTAGATGACATGGTGTTTTAGATAAACATGACGGTGAATGGTCCTTATTGCTGCTTGTATGCTGCGAGAGAAAGACTGCCTTATGTAGGTGAACAGAGTTGAGCTTTCTGCAGGGAACAGACACTTACAGTTTAACACAACGTTACGCAGTTTCATGCCTGCCCACAGGCTGTTTACACATGCATCTGCACCAACCTCACAGTAGAGCAAGGATAACAGGCAAACACACATCGTGCAGACACAGACACACACAGACACACTCAATTGTTCCAGCAATAAGACAGACACAGGGAGCTGGGTGGCAGGAGATAAGGGCCGAGGTGAGCGAGGGTTGGAAAGAGGTGCAACCAAAAATGAAGTAAACATCAATAGTAAGTGTCTTAGCTGGGCTCTGGGCCACTACGAGCAGCTAGAAGAGCTTAAGCGTGCCTTGGCATAGATTTTGGATATATGGAGCCGCACCAGAGGGATGTTTTTCCACATTCTTTCACAAGAAAATCTTGATGTCGCTGTTAAAAACACTTAACTGAGCTAAATCAGAAAGCATGGCACATACTGTTTGCATTGTCTCACCGTTCCAAGCGTTTGCTGATAACTGTTTGTGCTTCTGCTTTAAATTATGGTGAACTGTGTTTCATTTAAAGCAATTAACTACTACAATCAGCCCCAAACCCCTGTGTGTTCGACAAAGCCTTTAAGGTGCTGATTCAGCATTAGCATAGTTTCAATATGTTTGGGCCATGCTGCCACTCTGATTGTATCCCTCTGGCCTCCATACTGATGGTGCCTGCTCCAGGGCCCTGTTGCGTTTTCATCCATGCCCAAGTATAATCTTCTCACCAGTAATCATGGTGAGCCTCAAGTTAAAAAAGCCTCTCAGGCCAGTGGCCCACAAGCAGCAGATTACAGCAAATCAGAAATTAAACCCAGAAAGAAGGCAGGCACTGAGAATGAAGAGAAGCAAGCAGAGACCCTCCAGAGCTAAGAGCTTTGCTGTTTCATTAATGCTGATGAACTTAATTCAATCAATTCTCTGCAAGACGTCACTGTGATGGTAAACAACTCCTAATGCCATCTGCAGATGCCACTGCAAGAAAGTAGTTTTCTTCGCACACTACCTTAATCCTCCTGCAGATTTATCTGGGCTAAAGAAACGCTCGACTTTTAAAGGCCAAATCAATTCAGAGACTTATGTTGTGGATATGACAGGAGTAAGGTTTACTTTAGAAGGCAGCGGCACATTTTCGGAAATATCAAATATCATAAATACCAAAAAGCGAGAGAGGGGGGAAAAATAAAGAAGCTGTTTGATAAAACAAAACCTACAGCCTTTTACATTTAATTGTATCTGCCCTCAGAATTTATGCCTCCAGGCTTAGCAGAGGATGGGAAACAGCTGCAGACTTATCTAGATTTCAGTTGTGAGCTATTACACAGGGAGGTGGACAAATTAATAAACAAGTTCAGTTTTATCTTGACAAAGAAGAACAAGAGGGTGGTTTCAGGGAAGGCCAAGAGTAAATTAAGTTCTTATCTGAGTAGAGTTTTACCTGTTGTCATTAAGCTGTGTGTATCGAGGCTGGGGATCTGGATCACCATCGTTCACATCGTAGCTGGCATCCGGGTCCTTAGAAAGGACAGATTGTTTACTGACATTTTTATGAACTTAAAAAGCATGTAAGTGTTAGAAACGTTACTACAGAAAAATAAAAGCAGGGCACCACTGCAGAATTAATTTGAAAATCCTTAGAATAGCCCTCTATTGTAATTGTACAAGTAGAATGGGGGAAAAAAAAAAAAAAAAAAACCTTAGCAGGTGCTACTCAGGAAGTGCTACTCACATAGTTCTGCATCAGGTCAGGATGGTTCTTCTCGATTCCATCATCCAAGATTGACACCACCACACCTTTACCTGTGTAGCCCAACTGCCATGCAACTTTAGCATTCAAGTCATGGCGGTTGCTGTTGTACTGAGGGGCAGAGAGCAATGAAATACACAGAATTTAGCCATGAGAAAAATATCAGTGGGATGACAATCAGTTTTAACCAGATGTGAAAAGGACACCTTTAATAAAAACAAATTAATAAAATAAGAGCAATTTAACATGTTTAGGTGAAGGCTGAGCTTTTTGCAAAGTTGTTTTGTTTTGTTTTTTTTAAACCGTGTTTTATTAATACCTGGTAAGCCAGAGATATAGTGAAGTGGAAAATAGCAATGATCATTCAGTATGCTTTTTGATGGGCTTTCAACATTCAGCTTGACCTTTGGTCAAAAGCCACGTCTTGCTTTCAACTACTTCAAAGCCCTTTTTATTTTCAAAGTGCATCATTAAAATATAATGTGTCTAGTGTAGCGTTTACTGTATTTTCCTCTTAAATTTCAAGCCCTTGTGAGTGCAGTATACCAGACAGAATTATTTTTATTCCTCAAGCTTGTACTGCCATTGACACCTTTAAACCATCGACAGGAAAATAAATTAAAACGTAAACGCTGCGATCTGCAATGCTGATTCAGACTGGAAAGGTCTTTTGTGGCTGACACACTTGCTGAATAATAAATCTGAGAGGCATGTCCAAGGTTTCACTTTGGATATTGTTCACCAAATCTTTCCCATCTCTCTTAATTTTAGAATATTTCGAGCAAATGTAGAGCTGAGCATGAGATCTGCCCATGATTTATCAATTGTACAAAAATGAGTCTAATCGGACTTGTTTCCCTCTTTGATAAATATAAGCATTATTAAATATTCATTGTACCAGCAGATGCTGGAAACCCTGCCAACAGACCCACCCACACCCTCCTGTGGTCAGTCTGGTTCAGTTTTAATGAGAATCAGACTTATTTAGTGCATTGAGAGAAGAGCAGCACATTACTGATGCTCACGACCTCTTTGGACAATTGAGTATCACCAATATTATTCAAATCCACCCAATGCATTTTGCATAATGACAACCATTTACTTATTTTCTTCATTTTATTTCTGCAAGGCTGAAACAGACAGAAGTATAATCCTCTTCTGTGCTCTCCAGTGGATTAGCTGGACAAAAGGAATGATTAGAATCATTAGCTGCAGCCCTCGAAAGACACTAAAAGCACTCCCCCAACTTTTACATAAAACATATCTACATGTATCACAGACAGGTTTTTACTAAACAGTTCAACTCTTAAATGCTGTGAACTTGGCACATTTACTTATCAAAGTGCCACTAAATGTTCAAGCACAGTGGAGAACAGAGTGCGTTAAAGCGAAGACATTTTGAACAAGTGGTGAAACAAGCGTGCTTTGCATCACCATGAATAATCTTCTGCCTCAAGCAACCTCACAGTAATTGCAGGAAGAGTGAGGCTGAACAGAAAATCTCCAGAGTTGTTACTGCTGCTTTTAACAGGCCAGTGTATCAGTGGCATTCTTCAAGTCGAATGTGAAAATCAATCGACTGAAAACAAGCGCACTTCGAGATGAATCACCCCTCTCTCACTCCGCTTTTTGCTCTTTGTTGCTGTGCCGTTTATGGACCAAAGTAAACCATCAATTTCAAGAAACATGCCATTCAGAGCTGAGGGGAGCTCGGTGTACGAAAGTATGCTATTGTTAAAGCTGAGTCCTTTAGGTAAAGTCACACTAGAGTGTCTTGTTCTACAAACAAGCCAGACAAACAGCACCCTCCCCGAAAACACAGAAAAAGTATATTGGATTCATACAGGTTTATTTTCAGACCCTGAGGAAATATCACAGCTCTAAATGTAATTACCTATATTGACTTTAGACAGATAAAAAGCTCTACTAGGCTGCAGCACAGAATTCTTATTTATTATTTATTTATTATTTTTCAAAGACAGACAGAAAACGAAAAGGAAAAAACCCATGGCCTCTTGTTTATACTTACCAGGTACCACTGGTCTCTGAACTTGGGATCTAAAGGCTCTTCAAAAACGTCCCTCTTTTTCCTCTGTTTTACCACCTGTTGCTCTGCCCAGGTCACCTAAACAGAGAAAGGACACATTAGGAGTTTAACAATGGTGATTCTTAAAAAATAAAATAAAAAACATTTTAACCACACTCAGAAAATAGTACAAGAAATTTAAATGAACTGGCCACGAGTGTCACCATGTCACATAAATTAATAGAGAGTCCTCAGCAGGACAACAGCAGACATGGTGAGATTAGAGGCACAGGAGCACTATGGACTCCTCACTAATGAGACTCACTGAATTCCAGAGCAGCTCAGGACTAATTAAAAATTTCTGTCTCACTTTGCTTGTGGGTGCACCTAGACAAGTATGCAAACCAACAACAGACAAACGGAGGCAGATTTTGAGCCAACGCCAAACAGAACAGTAACCAAGTCTGCACTGGGTTTTCAAAACATGGGAGCTCTATCAGGAATTGTTGACAGAAGCAGAATACAGTGAATATAAGCCCGCCTTTTTACACCCTCTGCAGAATTGTTCTTGCTGTACTGCAAAACGGCTGGTTACACGGGAACAGGAGAGGGGGGAAAAATGTGTCAGAGGAGGAAGACAGAGAAGTGCCTGCTGCAAGGACGAGCACCTGATTTGAAGGACGACTAAATCGCAGCACACCCCTCTCCCCGCCTCTACAGATCACTAGAGACACAAGGCTGAGAGAAGCAAGAAGTAAATGAAGGTCACTTCGACAGCTACACTGAATGCCAGTTCAAAAAGTGACAAAAGGGAGGTATTTCACTTAAGGCATGTACGTGAGGTCAATCTATTCAAGCGGAAATGTTAACATCCAGATTCATCCGGGGTCAACGGGAGTGAAGTGTTACTGTGGCAGTTTACACCAGACTGAAAATACGCACGCATATTTATTACAAAAAAAAAAAAAAAAAAGTGTTACCATACACAGAAAAATAAATGTCTACGCTTACCTTCCTTTCCATTTTCAATTCTCTTGAAGTGAGATCAAGGTGGTGCAACATCTCAGACTAAAAGGTTACCATGATTCTCTCTCTCCAAGACTGTTATTTATATCTTAACAGCAAATGTCATGTTCTACACAGAGACAACATAATAATAAAGTATATTAAATATTGCTTCTCAGCACTGAATCAAATTCTATCAAATCTAAAAAAAAGAGGCCAATCAAACGAACCATTCATTTTGCAAGACTCACACAGCAGGTTATGTCCAGGGCAGCTGTGGCTCAGGGGGTCGAGGGGATTGTCTGGAGGGTTGGTAGTTCTGAATGTTAAAGTATCCTCAGGCAAGATACTGAACCTTGAGTTGCCCAGATGCATCCAAAGAACTTAGACATAGAAAAAACCCCAAAACAAAACAAACAAACTGTACTTTTTAGTGGCCCCCATTTGGCCACCCCTATGTAAAAATTCAGGAGCCATCCCAGCTAACACTTGATGCTGATCTCTCCTCAATCCAAGCTATGTAGAGTTAGCAGCTTTGTAAAGTCCACCTGACAACCATCTCTTCTCTCTCTCACAACAAAGAGCCAACATTTAGTTTTGCCCTGAGAGAGAAGAAGTACTAGAAGTTGCCTATTGATATGAGCTATTGGCTAATGCTTGTAATTTGACTTAGTAGCAGTTAGTAGATATTTGGTTTTATACCGTTTTTGACCTTAGGTTAGAGAACTGTCTTGCTTTTGTTTTTTGTGTTAGTCTAGTGTTGGGTTGGTTTGAAGCCTTAAAAAAAAAAAAAAAAAAAAAAAAGATGTCTAGAAGCAAATAAACTGCTCATCTCTAGGCAGGAGATTTAACAAGTACCCTAATTACTCCAAAAAGGGCAGGTAACAGTACAGTTTAGAGAAATAAAGCCAGCTGATGATATGCAACGTCTCTCAGTCACTCTAATATTGGCTTCCTAAGGAAAAGGGCACAACTGACAAAAAAGGATGTCTACAGTCAGTTGTACATCGTGACCAATTTGTAATTTTCAGTCATAAAAAAAAAAAAAAAAAGACATTTTCTCCTGCGTCATCACGTGGTTCTATGTGACTTTCCCTTCTTCGTTTTCTGCAATGTTTTTATCACACCTTAATCTTGGTTTCACACCTATGCAGGGTCGGTGGTTGTTGTGCAACATTTCCACAATGATTCTCTTCAAACAGATCAAGATTCTTGGAAGACAGAAAATGTTTGCAAAGTCTGATGCAACACAGGAAATTCTAAAATTTGCAACAGAGGATTTTCACTATAAACATGGTGTGTGGAGTGTATACTACTAGATCTAATCTCATCAATTAATGCAAGTCATAGTTCAAGTGTATGCCTTTGGTGCCCTTGAAAGCTATTCACATACACAAAACCATGCAAAAGCAATATCTGGCATGCCAGAGAAGGCATGCCACCTTTATCACACTCTATACATTAAAACCAATATAAAATTAATGATCCTTTTAGGGTCTTTTTCATCTTTGCATGACTAAAAGAAAACACTATGTTTGATACAAACAGCAGCCACTGCAGTTTAGAAATCAGTACTTGTCCCATTAGCTGTTAAGTTTGGTTAAAACACAGGGTTAATCTTTCCTATGTTAGTCATAATAGATGACTGCCAAGTCATACACACTCGACTTCCAGCAAACATGCAGAATAGCTTCCCTGCAGTCGTTACAGTTCCTGCTCCTTTCAGCTTCAGGCATCTCAGTGACACCAGTTATTTCCAGCTAATTTGTGCAGTCAGTCATCTTAATGTCACACACAGTTCTTGGAAATGTCCATCAAACTGAACAAAGACATAATTTTCCACTAATTAATGTATTAGAGAGGAGTACTTTAGTTCTAGTCACAAGGAACTGACAGCAGAGATTAGTGGCCCAGGCGTGTCCATAAACTATGCACGCAATAAGGATGCAGAGTTTTAGAAATGCATCTCCCCGCTGACACCTTACATTATTTACCAATCATTTTTAATAGCGTGTCTTTTCTATAAATTGAGCATCTCCATACTTAAGTAAACAGTGAACAGAAATGGTGTAAGTTATATACTTTTTCAAAACCAAACTTGAACAGATTCCTACTTTTTCCTGGAGTGTAGCAAGCATTTCCACTTTCTACCTTTTAAAAAGAGTCTTTTGAAAACCTTCAATAGTCTGTGACAGAACACAAAGTATCTATGAAGTTGTCAAATGGGCACTTTTATTAAAAGCAGGCTTTGAAAATTAAAAACTGTCTATCTCATACGCCCAGACCGGCCAACGCACAACTAATGTTTACAAACAGACTGCCTTGGCTCATGTTTAGGTGGAGAGTCCTATCTCTGCAACACATAGGCTCCCCACCCTTCCCATCTTACCCAACCACTGCTTTGCCCTTCATTATACAAACACAGCATCCTCCCACAGGGACCAAGTTGGAGCCTCAAATGAGGAATCATTCCTGTAAAGGAATACAGTAGAGTGCCATTCGTATCACACCTCAGTCACAATGTCATTTATGTTTACAGAGCTGTTATTATTCTTGACATAAAAAGCCTCAACCAGCCAAACCTATTACAGCAAATCCAGCTTACAGTGCTCTGTGTATGCGCGCATCTTCTTTTTCTTCATTTCATTATTTTGTTGAATAGAAGTAAACTTCGCAAACAAACCAAAAGGAAAAGCACAGACGGCATAAAACGGGAAAGCTGAAGTCGTGGAGGTAGTAGATAGACCCAAGCTTTAAATCTTGAACAGACCCTATTAACAGTGCTCTCAGCTCCGTCGTCATTCTATGAGATCTGGCATAGGTCCAGGTGCTTTTGTAAGTAATTAGATGCTCTTCAAAGAGAGTTTACTGAGCCTTTTGTTCAGGCTTCATCTCAATCAGTATAAAAGCTGCAGAGGGCCTTGCTAAGATTTAAAATTCCTTTTATTTGAAGCATTTCTGCAATATTTTATGGAAAAACACTTGGGCTGATGCAAATGCAAATCCGACCTGCCGGTTTTCAAGCTCTAATCAAACTATTCATTACAGGAAAGTTTAAAATGTGAAGCAATGCTAATACGTTTGCAAGTTAATGATAATTGTGCAAAGCTCTACTGATAAAATAAACTCACGAATACTAATCTGACCATCGTGAACTAGACTGGAGGACATGAAACTGTAAGGCTCCACTTTCTCTGAGTTGCTGTGGGGGGAAAAAAGGATTCAAAAACAGGAAATGGAACACCAGCGTTAAAGGAAATCCCAAAGAGGGAGGTGGACCACTTCTAACATGTACGCAAACAAACCCAGCAGAAGTTGTTCTACTCCCAGTGTGCACCTGTACTGCAGAGATGCAGTGTGTGGCCAGAGATACTTCAAGGCAGATTTCATTTCTTTTCTTCCGAGGCAGGAGTAGTTTTGATGCACATAATGATTCTGCAGATGCACCTGTCGAGATTACTGTAACGGGCATTAAATTTCGAGGTTTACAGAATAGACAGGACACAATTTAAATGCAAATACATTTATATCGTTTCCAGAGACTTGTAAAAAAGCTCCTCTTTGCTTTCATACAACTTACGAGGACAGGAACAGTGTTGAGAAGCTGGAGCCAGATTATAAAAGTAGTATTATTCACAGTTATGTATCATGTTTTTTTAGTCAGTTTTTTTCAGTGAAACCCAGTGCACACAGATCACTGTGATCCAGTGTGAGGGAGAAAAAACTAACAAACAAACAAAAACCCATCAGCGTTTAAATGAATAGAATAAAATATATGCAAGTATAACATTATATTCTATATAATATTATAGTTTTTTTCCTTTTCTGCATAATTTAGAATCCACTGCAATCAGCTGGAAGTTATGATTCAACTCTTGATTCCTGCATGTGATTCGGTCTGAAAGTCACCCTAAACTCTCCTGTCACAAAAACAGAAGGTCATTTCCAGCTCCTTCAAAGATTACACAACAACGGGGCAAAAAAATTAACATAAAATACTATAGGAAACCCACTGAGCTGAGCTTAGAGCTGTAATAATTGCTTAATTAATGGATCAAAGGATTATCTCAGGAGGTAAAATGGGTCGCTCATTAATTACAGGGTTGGTGGTTCAGTTCCGGCTCCCTTTTTATGCACCCCTCAGGCCAGACACTGAAACTGGCTTCGGATGGTCACCCCAGCATGTCGCACAATAACCTGCTGCTTTAGCTACATGTGAAGTTGAGGCATGTCATATATCTATAATCCAATTTGATTGGTACACTAGTTGATGTTTGCATTTATGCTTATGGGGTCAGTAATTTAGCAACTTTAGTAGTTAGCAGATACAGACAAAAAGAAAGTTTAGTACAAAGCTGCCATGTTTGACGAGTTTTTGTATTTATTTTTTTTATATTGATTTGGTTTTAAGTAGAGATGGCACGATACCACTTTTTAATGTCCGATACAGATATCATAAATTTGGATATCTGCAGATATCGATATGAATCCGATATAGCGCATTTAGTAATCAATAAAACTGTTTTTTATAAATAACTTGCTGCATTTTGTATAAGTTCATACTCGAGTTTTAAAAAAAACAAGAGATTGAAGCTATTCTGTTATACCTGTATGCAAAAAATACACTCCACCCAAAACATTTTATAGTTCAGCAACACTGATCAATCTAATAAATTTAAACCTACACCTACAGCGGAAGCGAATGGATGTATCCATCCATCCATCCATCCATTCGCTTCCGCTTATCCTTTTCAGGGTCGCTGGAGCCTATCCCAGCTGTCATAGGGCGAGAGGCAGGGTACACCCTGGACAGGTCGCCAGTTTGTCGCAGGGCTAACAATGGATGTAATCAACTTTAATTTAATGCAAGTGTAAAACAAATGCACAGAAATCAATTATTTTTCTACAATATTTAAATAGATTCAACATCTCAGGAAAAAGTACTATAGCTTACTAGGGTGTATATTAGACTTATTAGTTACTATATACAATAATGGATTTCTATACATTTAATCAGGTGGCCACTTTTGTTGTAAGATTCAGATAATTATTTATTTATTACGTTTTTAAATGACAAAGAAAAATATTTATTTGTGCCCCCCTTTCTCTGTTAATGCCCAAACTGGCCCCCGACAAAACTTTGCTAGACCCGCCCCTGCACAGTTACCAGCCGTCAGCTATTTAGAAAAGGATCCTGCTGTTATTTGTCTCTCAGAAACAGTTCATAACTTCCCTTCAACTCATTCATGTTAACTAAAAGTTAAACCTGTTTCTCCATCACCTGTTCAGCTCTGATGATTCAGTAAGAACATCTCCTGGATTCATCTTCATGTTTCCCTCTCATATCCAAACCGATGTCATGACCAGCAGCTTTTACAGCTGTGGCTCCAGCAAACATCAGCTGATACTAGAAAGTAATATTAAATACATTCTAACAACAGCTTATCAAGCTTAAACGTGCTGCTGTTGTTTATCCGCTGGTCTCCTCTTTCTGGTGCAAAATGGGTGATAAACAAACAAGAGACGGGACTTGCGGCAGAAGAGCCGATCAGCTGATCATTGATCAGTTTCATGTTTGAAGTAATAACAGGAGAGGAAGGAGGAGTGAATGAGAGAAGTAGATGCAACTGCACAGCAAAGACAGAATAACTCCAGCTTTGTGTCTTAATTCTAGCTGAAGTACGGGACAAATCGCTTCCTTTTCACCTCAATATGGAACTCCAATGGCCAGTCCAGCTGTGGCTCAATATATCAGTTGTTAAGCTTAACTTGGAAATACTATGCAAACATTCAGGGATGAACTTACACACTTGCTTTACTTCTCTGGGACCGTTTTCGCCAAGATGAATTGCCGCGGTTAGGAAGCATGTAGCGAGGCTCCAAATGCTCCAACAGACCACCAACAGCTGCTCTATCACGTGACACATACTGCTCTGATGCACTGATCTGGGATACGCCAAGTAACGCGTTTTGTGAGGTGATTTTGTGATACTTCGGATCGGATTACATTTTTTATTTCTCTCCAATATCCGATCCAGTAATTTAGGTCAGTATCGGACTGATACGTAATATCGGATTGGTCCATCTCTAGTTTTAAGTGTCTATTTTCAAAATGAACGATTTTCTTTTATTTAGAAGCATTAAAAACAATCCTTTAAACATTCTCTTTCTCACTTGCTTTCCCACAGCCATGAATGCTAATTTCACACCCTTCCCTTTGTCCCTTCCAGTGGGGGTAGAACACTGACTCATTTTCACACTAACCTCAAACTCCTACAAAAAAGCAAGAAAACACAGACATGTGAATTTACAAATTACATCAGTTAAGGAGGAGGAAGAATCAGGTCGATAGAGAAGTGCATGTTCACCTTCCAAG